CATAGTGAAAAAAACACTGCTTTATTTGACAACAGATTCTCTTGTACATGACCTGACCAAAAAAAATAGAGAGCACAAGAAAATGTTGTTATATTACAATAGCCTTAAAAATTTGCATTTTTCCCAAGTTGAGAGTAACCCTGTATCCCATGAGTATTGATACCATAGCTAGGAGCCTTCTGGAAATACAAGGTTAGCCTCATGGAAAATGTAAATTGTTAGCGTTACTGTTAGTACTAACAACACTTTCTCATGCTTTCTTTTGTGTTTGGTGAGATCTTTGCATAAGAGAATCTGTTGTCAAATAAATCAGCACTTGTTTTTTTTTCGCTATGAACATTAGAACGATTTCAGATAACCGGATAAAGAATGCTAATGAGGATCAATTTATGCTAATGCACATTACATGATTTTACACGTGGAACAACGAGGATATTGATGAACGCTCACCTTATTTGACGTACAGATTTGTGTCTAGTTTTTGCAAACAAGGACAACAATTTGATACAATCTTTTCTCATCGTGTAATGTGTGTTAGCATAAATTGATCCTCATTAGCATTTTTTATCTGGTTATTGTGAAATCGTTCTATTGATGGAGCTAAATATTATGCCATACAAAACTTTGGTCAATGCCTTTTGTTCCAAACACCAATTAAATTGGTGCATGGCAAGATTTTCAGAAAGCAAATTTAAAAGGAGAGGTATGGCCGAAAAAAAACTATAGCAAGCCACCTAAAGCAAGCGTGTTTTACCTTTGTTATCAATATCTCTCATTTCTTTATAAGACCAGCACCTTTTCACCAGAATTTCAAACACATCCATTATTGCTTTGTTTATCTTTCCTGCCAGCAAATTATCCTTTCTTGCTAGACTACTCATAAGACTCACAAAACACAGAGTAAACTCTCCAGAAATTGGGGACTTTGAAGCTATCGTAAACATCTGAGGTTCAATCCACTTTGCTGCCGGGAGATTCTTCAATACATCAATTAAGTATGGCATTATTTTGGATTTGTACTGGAGATTTGACTGGAGTTCATAAAGTCCCAGTGCTAGTATAGCTTCCTGGCTTCTTTGGTCTAAAGTGTAGTAGTCTGTCGGTGTCTTGGGTCTGCCAGGGCATAGCCTGGACATTTTTTTGACCTGAAAATAGAAAAAGGAAAAGAATAAAACAAGAAAGAAAGAAAAAGGTAGTGAATTAAGCTACTGGCATGAGTCAAAATCATTGCTTGATTTATCAACATCATGGAAACCAATGCAA